CTGGGCCAAGGACAAAAAGGACTAGACTGATGCTGAGTGGTCCAAAGTTATGTTTTCTGATGAAAGCAAGTTCTGCATTTCCTTTGGAAATCAAGGACCCAGAGTCTGGAGGAAGAGCGGAGAAGCACAGAATCCACGTTGCATGAGGTCCAGTGTAAAGTTTCCACCGTCAGTGATGGTGTGGGGTGCCATGTCATCTGCCGGTGTTGGCCCACTCTGTTTCCTGAGGTCCAGGGTCAATGCAGCCGTCTACCAGGAAGTTTTAGAGCACTTCATGCTTCCTGCTGCTGACCAACTTTATGGGGATGCAGACTTCACCTTTCAACAGGACTTGGCACCTGCACACAGTGCCAAAACCACCAGCACCTGGTTCAAGGACCATGGTATCCCTGTCCTTGATTGGCCCGCAAACTCGCCTGACCTTAACCCCATAGAAAATCTATGGGGTATTGTGAAGCGGAGGATGCAATACGCTAGACCCAACAATGCAGAGGAGCTGAAGACGACTATCAGAGCAACCTGGGCTCTCATAACACCTGAGCAGTGCCACAGACTGATCGAGTCCATGCCACGCCGCATTACTGCAGTTATTGAGGCAAAAGGAGCCCCGACTAAGTATTGAGTGCTATACATGCACATTCTTTTCATGTTCATTCTTTTCAGTTGGCCAACATTAGAGAAACAAACATTTTTTCATTGGCCTTTAGAATATTCTAATTTTCCGAGATACCAGATTTGATGTTTTCATTGGTTGTCACCTATAAATATCAAAATTAAACGTAATAAACATTGGAAATACATTGGTCTGTGTGCATTGCATGAATATAATGTACAAGTTTCACGTTTTGAATGGAATTACTGAAATATTTTCAACCTTTTGATGATATTCTAATTTACTGGCCAGCACCTGTACATGCATAAGAACAATTATATAGTTGAAAGCTGAAGGGGAGTGGGAATAAAAAAATGTATTTAATCCCACCCCATCATCGTAACACTTTGGATATGCTTCCCTGCTGTTTTCCGTAAATGAGCAATACTAATAATTCACCCTTTGTACCCAATGGATGATGGTAACTCACATTGTGTTCCATCTGTGGCAAGGTGGAGAGACGTAGCCTGACCTGCCAGACTCCTTCTCTGTTTAATTCTGCACAGAGAAAGAGTCTGTGGACTCTCCTATTCAAATAACCCCGCCCCGTGAGAATTCTAACCGAGCCAATCAGTGCTGAGCAGCGTACGTCACACACCATAACGCCGAGTTTGTCGAACATGGCGACTGAAGCGGAGTTCGCTGTGGCTCTTTTCCTCTGGTCTAAATGACTTGGGCACATCTTTAAAACAACAAGTAGAAGCGCTAAAAGCCTTTCTTCTAAACAAAGATGTTTGCGCTGTCGCCAGAGGCCATTTTTACTACAGCTAAACAACTACAGCATCGCGGACGTCACTCACGGCGACGCTCAGTTTCTCATAAACAACGAAGACAGCGGCGGTGTTCGCTGCGGCTCTTTCCTCTGCTCTTAAATAATAATAATAATAGTACATTTTATTTAAAAGCGCCTTTCAGGACACCCAAGGTCACTTTACACAAAACACGTAATAAAATACAATAAAACAATAATAAAACCCAAAGAAGAAAAAACAGAGAGAAACAGTTCAATAAAATCAGAGGTTGTAGGCAGATTTAAACGTGTGTGTTTTGAGTTTTGTTTTGAAAAGGGTAAAACTGTCGACGTTCCTGATGTCTGGGGGAAGTGAGTTCCAGAGTCGAGGAGCAGAGCGGCTGAAAGCTCTGCTCCCCATGGTAGCGAGACGGGCAGAGGGAACCGCAAGATGGATGGAAGAAGAAGATCTGAGTGAACGGGATGGGGTGTGAATACATAAGGTCTGAGATATATGGAGGAGAGAGGTTGTGGATTGCTTTGAAGGTATGAAGGAGAATTTTGAAGATGGACCTGAATTTAACTGGGAGCCAGTGAAGCTGCTGGAGAACCGGCGTGATGTGGTGAAAGGAAGGGGTTCTGGTGATAATACGGGCTGCTGAATTCTGGACCAGTTGCAGTTTATGAAGGAATTTGTTGGGGAGACCATAAAGAAGTGAATTGCAATAGTTGATACGGGAGGTGACGAGGCTGTGGACGAGAATGGCGGCAGTGTGAGGGGTCAGTGAGGGACGGAGACGGTTTATGGAACGTAGATGGAAGTATGCTGACCGAATTAAGTTATTAATGTGAGCCTGAAAAGAAAGTGAGCTGTCGAGAATGACACCCAGACTCTAAAATGACTTGAATGTCTTTAAAACCACAAGTAGAAGCGCTAAAAGCATTTCTTCAAAAAGAATAAAAGATGTTTGCGCCGTTGCCAGACGCAATTTTTTTTTACTACAGCTAAAACATACAGCGTCGTGCGGTACAGTCAGCATTTCCGTCTTATTTCTGCTAGGTTATTTTTGAGCGTCCTAGTCCCGCCCCTCAATTGCCTCTCTGCCAGTGAGTTACCAGACTCTCTCTGTGCAGAATTAAACAGAGGACAAGTCTGGCAGGCCAGGCACGGACAGATGAGGGCCTGGGCGGGGTTCGATCCCCAGACCCCCGGGTGGTGCGCTAACCAGTCAGCCAAAGGGACATCCCCAGGGGCGCCTCCAGAAAATTTAGATAAGGGTGGCCAGATGGGGCCAAAGAAATTTTTGGGGTGGCACACCAAGTTGGTCCTTGTGGTAACTCTGGGAGAATTAGTCTGTGGCGATGTGCTGCATTGTGCCTTTATTAGTTTTGATTAAAATAACAGTACGTATCCAAAACATTTAACTTAAATTTTACAAACACAAACATTTCAGACAAATACATTTCAGCTATTTAAAATGTTATCCCTAATTTAATTTAAAAGTGTATTTTTTAGGTTAATTCACCTTTTACTGTGTTGAAAAAAACTATGGCGGTAAAAACTTTTTTAAAATGGTGAGCAGCAGAAACATGTTTACTTTTAAATTCTGATTATTTCTTTACTAATTAATTGTAGTATTTTTATTTTGTTTTACAATTATGTCTTGAATAAACAAGATCAATATATGGTTTGACTGAACATTAATATGATTTGTTAACACTGGCTTTTTTGGGGGGTGGGGGGCAGCACTTTTCTAGGGCCACCCCTTGGGGGCGCCCTTGGACATCCCCTTGTCCAAGTAACCAGAGCACATGATCAATCTGGATACAGTGACACTCACCCTCCCACATGTATTACAGTAACGATGCGTATTTTAGAGATTACCGATGCAAGTATAATATTGAAACCTGCATGGTGACGCAGTGGTTAGCACTGTTGCCTCGCAGCACAAAGGTCGCAGGTTCGAAACTCGGCTGCGGCCTTTCTGCGAGGAGTTGCGTGTTCTCCCCATGCATGCGTGGGTTTCCTCCGGGTACTCAGGTTTCCCCCACAGATCACAACACGCCCTATAGGTTATAGATTGTAAGTCGCTTCGGATAAAAGCGTCTGCTAAATAAATAAACATAAACAATACGATTTCTGGTAACAATACAATATAAAAAGTAAAGTGACCACATGGAAATGACCATACTGAACACAAATAACAGACTTTGGGTGCACATTTAAGACCCTTTCTCTACATATTTTAATCGGACCATATGTTCATAAAACTGTTTGGATTGGTGGATATTTTGGCATTTATTTTATTTATTATGCAGAGAGCATTTCAAGCAATAAGGTAAAAATACTACAGAAAAACGTCTCGGGCTGCATCTTGAAGAAGCTTCAGAACAGAGACAGGGCAGTGACCATCGACATGTATACTGGACAATTCGTATCCGTAGGCTCGAATTATAAGTTTTTGTGCCAAAATGGGAGGTGACCACCATCGCCATTTTGGCCGTGTCAAAGGTTCCGTCAAGCCCAGACAATTCCATAAAAGGGAAGAGAGGTGGAGCTGAGGGTGGGGCTGTAAGGCTGGGATCAAATGACGACACCCGTCAAACTGAAGCGATGTAGCTACAAGCTAACCAAAAGCTAAAGCGGAGGTGGGAGCTAAGCTAACAGAGGTAGCAACCTAGCTACAACCGGAGTTAACTGTGCACAACACCAGAGCTTCTGAGTCAGAGATACGCCGGGCTGACCGCTGGGTAAAACCAGGTGGAACACAGAGGTCTCCGAGAGCTCCACAAGCCGGCAGCCGTGCAGCAGACAAGCGCTGCTGCGGTCAGAGATGCGCCGAGCTGCCGCTGAGGGGAGGGGACCATACCGATAGTGGGAACCCAGCTCCACCAACATGTTGTATTTCATCCCATTTTCTAAAGTGCAGCATTATGTTAAATGCACTGGGTTTTACCCTATTACATTTAAATTTCATGGTTAAACAGTACATGTTAAAATCTAAGCTCAGCTCGGCAGTGACCTAAAATACATAAATATAATTTTACTTACAGATAAAAATGAAGTGGAGACTCCTTGGACGCTCTAATAGTGCAATTAATGCCACAGCGAGTCATTTTGTCCAACAATTGCACAAAAATATCCAAACAAGAATACACAAACACAGAGACTCAAAATCCCGGAGCAGTTTCCAGGCCAGACCGAGGCTCTACTGAGGCCTTTCCACGGAGCTAGCTCTGTGGTCACGTGGGTCTGATGCTCATTAATTATACAGAATTTTAGGCTTTTAATACACTTAAACAGAAGAGTGACAAAAAATTCACCCCCCTCAGAGTTGTCATGAGTGTAAACTAGATCATTTAAACCAAAAACATGTTTTGGTACCAGGCTGTAAACATGTTTATTTCTGCTGTGAAATTGGTATTTTTAACATGGGAGTCAATGAGGATTTGCTCGCTTCTGACACCAGCCCCTAGTGGATGAGGGTGGAACTGCAATTTATTTCATTTCCGTGTTGGCTTCATATCCAGACCTGAATTATGGGGGCTTGGCCGTGACCTGCCCTGTAGAACTCCGCCCACCTGTTGGTGTACCTGATGTTATTTGTCTGTCCGCAGCACGGCCGGCGCCGAGCCAGGGTGACTCATGCCGTGATTGTGATCTTTCTGGAGTTCTTCGCCTGGGGGCTTCTGACCACGCCCATGCTGACTGTAAGTAAACACACACACACACACACACACACCAGACAGGTGAGCCTGTAGGAATGTGACGCAGGTGCAGTTGAGATGACGTCTGTGATGTGGAAGTCTTACAAGTTTATCCACGCTTCTTTCATTAAACTCAACATTAGCTGTGATGATGGATGACCCGAGCTCATTCTGCTGCTCGTTTCAGTAAAAAACTGATTCCATGCTGATCTGAGTTCAGTAAAGTGGCACATATTCAGATATGTGGGATAGATCCCTGCCTCTCCTGTCTCTGAGCTGAGTCAAAGATAAAACATCTGATTACTGAGCCCATGTTTTGGTTACCAGACCGATCGAGCTGAGGTCCAGGACTGATTTTTACGGGTCTGTTTTCAGGTCCTAAAGGAGACGTTCCCTCAGCACACCTTCCTGATGAATGGTCTTGTGCAAGGCGTCAAGGTGAGAGCTGAGTCACTCCAGCAGCACAAACATCTGACCTTCACCAGACACCATGTAGGTCTGAGAGCAGACGGGTAGGAGGACTCCTGGGTCAGGAGGCGACATCGTGTCTGAGAAAACCAGACTCAAGCTTCAAATCTTTATTAACGAGTTAATCCAGTGTTCATACACACATGTAGTTTCTGAGCTGTGGTTCTGAAAGTTCTACACTGGTACTGACTACAAGTAGCTCAGGAGGTAGAGCGGGTTGCCTCATGATCACAGGGTCATGGGTTCGATTCCAGCTACCGCCAGGGGTATTCTGCTGTTGTGTCCTTGGGCAAGACACTTCACCCAACTTGCCTGTGCTGGTGGTGGTCAGAGGGGCCGACGGCGCCAAATGGCAGCCTCGCCTCTGTCAGACCGCCCCAGGGCGGCTGTGGCTACAAAGTAGCTCACCATCACTAGCAGTGTGTGAATGTGATGGTGCATGCAAGCGTTTTTGAGTGTCCTAAACAAGTGCTACATAAGTTCGATGTATTATTATTATTATTATTATTATTATTATTGTCCCTTACACACACACACACACACACACACTGTCCAGTCATCATTGGTCGCTCTGTCAGGGCTGTTACTGGTTGTGGTTGTGGTCACGGTTCTGAATGGCTCGGCCCGTAGAGCTACATGAATGATCTGACTTCCTCTGCTGACGTTTTTGACTGATCCTGTGAGAAATCAGCATGAAGGCAGCTGAGATCTTTATCCTGGAAACCCAGAACTTCTGGTTCCCTCACCAGAACTGAAATGCTGCTGAAGCAGGGCTCAGGATGCTGCGTCCTGACGCAGAAGATTAAACACCAACGACGGCTCTACTCCCGCCGTCAGAAACTAGTTTCTGTCTAATTAAAACCAAACTCAGGTTCTGGTAACAGATTCGTGTTCTGTAGCCTTCTGGGTAGGTGCTGGGCGATGCATCGAAAATTTATCGTTATCCAAATTTGTGACTCTTATCGAGATAATTATTCCCATGCCAATAAATTTGATGATAAAAAAATGAAAAGATGTGTGTAGGTTGGCAACATTCATGTCCCTTTAAGAAGCTGCACCACCTAAAAATGTGAGTATTACACGTGACAGCTCCATCTAGTGGACAACTTTTGTCTCTGCGCATACCCGTAGTTGTCGCCCGTTTATCGTTATCGAGGTGAAATCCTCAATATATCGTGATATTGATTTTAGGCCGTATCGCCCAGCCCTACTTCTGGGTTCTGGTTGGACAGTCTTTATAGATTCATATGTTTGGACTCAGAACCAGAACCGAGTCAGACTCTTATAATAATGATTCAGCCAGACTTTATAAAAGCTGGAGCTGATTCAGACACACTGTTTCAACTAGGGCTGCACAATATATCGCAAATATGTCGTTATCGCGATATCAGCATGCACAATACGCATATCGCAAAGAGCGGATATATATCGCAATAATTGGTCAGCTCAAATGTTTGCTACACATGATGCATTCTGTCAAACGGAAGCATGATGTTTTTAAACAACTCTAATAGAGTTCTTCACCCATTTGGCCAATCGGGTGGGTTCTCATAGGTTAGAGGCCCGCCCCCGAGGCGGACGACACTTGGGGTGTTTCTCATTGCCAAGGCGCCTGGCCTTGCGAGGCGATGTCTTGCGAGGCCAGGCGCCTTGCTTATGAGGACACGGTCCTTCCCTGTTCAAAGAAAACGGTTTAAATGGAACAGACTTGCATCACGTGACCACGGCGGTTACGTAACGTCACGTGACACGGGAGATAACGTTATATTTTATATGTATTAGTTTCAGTATAAATATGTAACAAGCTTTTTACTTTTTACATTGTGTATATGTTTATTAAATTAAAAATATAAGTGAGTTACTGCCTGCTAGCCACCGAAGCTGCAACTACTAAGCTACTAACCAACCATAGATAACTTCTTTGGATCTAAAAAAAAACATTTTAAATTAGATGACTTACTTTTAAACTTGAAAATTGTCCCCGAAGTAGCTGCCGGCTTCTGGTCCGCCATCCTTTTGAAAATACTGCAGCGTATTATGGGTAATTTTTGACCAAGGCTAGGCTACAAGACACCTTCCGTGTGTCCTTGCTCAGCTAGCTAAATGGCTAACAAACGGAGAACACACGCCTCGGTAGAACATGAACAATGGAACCGATTGGAACACGTCTTGGCGGCTCCCGATGACGTATCTCCTAGGCAACCGGGCCGGGGCCAAGACATCAAGGCGAGGTTCCTTGACGTTGAGAAACACCCTTAATTTTTATGGTTAGCAAACACCTGAGTTAGCTTTGTTCTGCTCTTTCTGCTGATTCTGCTTTTCCCAGGATCCACGGATTACCTTTTCTTCTTCATTTTCTTTTTCCCTTTCCTCACATCTCTAGCTTTCCTCATTTTTACCATCATTTTTTTATTTCTTTGTTTTTGATTAATTTTGTTCCTGAGTTAAGTTTTTATTTATCGCGAGTAATATCGTCATCGCAATATTAATCACTGTTATCGCGTATCGCAGGTTTTCCTAATGTCGTGCAGGTGCAGCCCTAGTTTCAACAATCCTGTTCAGTTATGTTTGAGAGTTCTGGTCCGCTCTGACCTGCAGGAGTCTCCACATCTAACTGGATCAGATTTCAGGTTCTTCTCGGGGTCTCTAAACTTCTCCAGACGGTTTAACGTCTGACACCAGTTTAAGGAACAAATGCTGATCTGAGACCAGTTTTCCTGAATCTGCTGTAATTTTCCTGTTTTCTTATTTTTCTTCTCTCAGGGTTTCTTGTCGTTTCTGTCGGCTCCTCTAGTTGGTGCGCTGTCAGACATCTGGGGAAGAAAGTCCTTCCTCCTCCTCACGGTCTTCTTCACCTGTGCCCCAATCCCCTTCATGAGGATCAGCCCCTGGTGAGTGGAACACCTGTACCACACCTGGAGACGCAGCCTGAGGATTTTAGTGGAGTTTCTGTCTCATCAATCAAAAAAGGGACATTTATTTTGGATCCATATTGTTGTTATTATTGCTGCTACTGTAGCGGCTGTTCCTTTACCAGATGGTGTTGCTGTCTTATCAGACTTCCAGGACAACCCATTTGTTCCTGGAAATCATTCTCATTAAAAAACTGACCTCAGATCAGATCGAGTGTCTGAGCTAACGTGGTTTTTCAGCCTCTATGGTTTCTACTGAGAAGTGGCAGTGAGTTAGTTTCATGACTTATTTACGCTTCTAAAAGACTCGAAGGGTTTAAAACATCCCAGCATCAGTGGGTTGAGATCCCGAGTCATGGTCTCAGACCCACACGGGCTTTGTTCTGTTTTCTCTGATGGATCATTTAGCGTTTGGGTTTGTCTGGGTGTCGGTCATGCAGCCTTGCTCTTGTGGAAACGTTTGGGAGTCGCAGCGCTGATCCGGTCAGCCCGTTGGAGCTCTGCTGCTTCAGCAGTCACATGCTGTTCATGTGAGCAGCTAAAGATCAGAGCCAGGCTGCAGCCTCAGGCTCCTCCCGCTGCTCCCTCAGAGTCCTGCTCCTTAGGAGCTGGTGTTGGCCCGTTTCTTAGAACGCTCAGCTGGCATCCTCCTGTTTCTAGTGTACCAAAGGATCCATGTGTGACATGCAGGTCACCTGAAAACAAACACAAGTCTAACGTCTCTGTCCTCACACCATTCAATACATCAGCTTTGTGTGTATGTGTGATGATGTCATCCAGGTGTTGTGTTCAGTTGACCCCCCACCCACCCACACACACACACACCACCACCACCACCACCACCATAGTCAGGTAATGAGTCCTGGAGCCTGTAGCGGCCAAAATACATCAGAAACTACCACAGATCTGTCTGTACATCACTTGTTATGGGTACGGTTGTCACGGTGTGAAGATTGAACCTCACGGTTATTGTGACCAAAATGATCACGGTTTTCTGTATTATCGCGGTATTTTTACAGACAACTACATAAATCCTGTATATCAGGAAATATTGTCCTCAGTTTGTGTCTAAATTTAGCCTAAAATGTGTTATTTTGTAATTATGTTGTTTATTTGTTTACATGTTTCCCCTTTAGTCTTTAAAATACCAATATTTGCCCATTACTTCTTATTTTTTGTCTGTTTGATGTCATCATTTTAAAAATATTAGATCAGATGATACTCAATACTTGAGTAGCCTTCTAATCAGATACTTTTTTACCCTTACTTGAGTAATAAACCCTGTATCAGGAAAATATTGTCCTCGGTTTGTGTCCTTCCAGTGAGCTTTACAGATGTGGGAAAATGTCATCAGGCAGTAATCGTTGTTAAATTCATAATTATTCTCGGAGAGAGACCAACTCTTATCTGCCCCTGGGAGCCCCGTAATGCATAGCGTCATTTCAACATGGCGGTGTCCGCGACACGGTTTATATGCAGGTAGCGGCGCTGCGGCTGCTTTATATAGCCACTCGTTGCATTCTCCCTCAACCCAAATCCTCGGATCACACATTTTAGCTAAAACGCTAACGTTAGCTTGCCTTGCGTTGACTGTAGAGTTGTGGGTGATGGTCACGCAGATGTGTCATGAGATTTGAAGCGTTGCTGCCTTTCACAGACACTTTTTCTGCACGTGCTGCAAACAGGATAGCCGTCTTCTATCAACTGTCCCTCGGCATTCTTCAGATATCCAAAAGATGCCCGTACTTCCCACTTTGTCTTCTTTGAGGGATAATAAATGTCCTGAGCGCTGCCGTCTCCTCCTTTGGCCATTATTTCAGCTTTAGCTTCAAGAAAGTTTTGGTTGTAAACAACAAAGTGCGCATGTGCCGCCGGCAACTTCAGCAGATGATACGGTGGCTGGTAAGGGTCACCGCGCCTACACCGCAGCCACGGTAACCCACCGAGATGATAGTTTTAAAAAACAAGACGGTTATTATTATTGTCAACTTTTTTACCGGGGTTTACCGCTACACCGGTTACCGTGACAACCCTAGTTATGAGTGAATACTGTGAGATTCCAGCCTTAACAAACTTTGATAACTCCTCGCTGCACGACACACATGAAATTAGCATAACATGATGCATGTTTACCCAGGCAAGCAACGTGACTTTACACAGGTTATAAATTAAATAAAAGTGTGTGCGTGCGAGAGAGGATGTAACTCATTGTTGAGTGACTTCCTGTCTCTGTGTGGTTTATTTACATAATTGTGTGTGTGTGTGTGTGTGTGTGTGTGTGTGTGTGTGTGTGTGTGTGTGTGTGTGTGTGTGTGTGTGTGTGTGTGTGTGTGTGTGTGTGTGTGTGTGTGTGTGTGTGTGTGTGTTAGGTGGTACTTTGCTCTGATCGCAGTCTCAGGGGTTTTCTCTGTGACCTTTTCCGTGATTTTTGCCTACGTTGCTGACATCACAGAGGAGCGTGAGAGGAGCACGGCGTATGGACTGGTAATTACACACACACACACACACACACACACACACACACACACTCTCACTCTGGGGGTGTGTCTAGTTTGTGACGACACAAACGAAAGCCGTGTTGGAGGAGACCTGTCCTCCATGTTTTGGTTGTTTCCTGCTCTGAAGCGCCCGAGTCAGTGGCAGCAGCATCAGGAAGTAGATCCGATCCTTCAGTAATCTGAGGGCTGCAGATTCCAGATAATTCCTCATAATTCCGTGTCCATGTGTCAAATACTTCATCTACTTCATGCCGCCCCTACCTCTGCATGGCAGGGGAGACGCCACTGGTCACACTCATTAAGCTGGAACTTAGTGGTGTAACTGCACCCCCTCCTGGTGTGAGTCAGTACCTCCATCATTCATGAGAAGTTGACGTTTTATTCAGAAATCAGCTGACTGTAGTTTGGTCTTCTGTGGTTAAACTGATCTGGGATCTGTTGTCAGGTTGGGTAATGAACTTTAACCTGCACGGATCCAGGAAGAACCATGATCGACTCCGTGATCCAGTTCTCTCTTGACCTGCAGGTGTCTGCAACCTTCGCTGCCAGTCTGGTGATGAGTCCAGCCATCGGGTCCTACCTGTCTGAACATTATGGCGACAGTCTCGTGGTTCTGGTTGCCACGGTGATTGCCGTGGTCGATATTGCCTTCGTGTTCTTCCTGGTTCCCGAGTCTCTGCCGGACAAGATGAGGCTATCATCGTATGGCTTCCCCGTCTCCTGGGAGCAGGCCGACCCGTTCTCTGTGAGTTCAGGAAAAATGGGGACATCAGCACACATGACATCATCATCCAGAGAGAGTAGCTGATTGGCTGCTTAAATGATAGACAGGCTGTTAATGATGGATTTGTGTTCAGTCGCTGCGTCGAGTTGGAAATGACACCACAGTCCTCTTGATCTGTGTCACCGTGTTCCTGTCCTACCTGCCTGAAGCTGGACAATACTCGAGCTTCTTCCTCTACCTGAAGCAGGTAAAACACACACACACACACACACACACACACACACACACACACACACACACACACACACACACACACACACACACACACTGATTCCAGGATCTTGGAGGTGTTTTCCTCTCTGCCGTCGAGGTTATTTCAGTTCTTCAGGCTGAGCAGAGTGGTAGAACCCTGAGTAGACATGTGTGTTTAGAACCTGAAGCTGCATCTGAAGCGTTAGTGGAATGAAAAGCGGTCGGGGAAGGTGGCAACGCCGTGATGTTGAGACGGGGCCTCGTTCATCAAGCTTGCTTACGCGCAAAACGGGGTCGGAAAACTGCGTAAGCAACTTTCCACACAAACTTTGGGATTTATGAAAGAAAACGTAGCAGAAAAATGTGCGCAACTTTAAGTTGACTAAGGACCTGGCTTACACACATGTTGGACATGGAGAGCACCTGCAGTGCTGCTGCTGAGAAGGATACAGTTATGAAATCCTGCAGCATTATCACTTGTACTGCTTCGTTTTCACACAGAACAATACCCCCCACATGCACACACACACACACACACACACACACACACACACACACACACACACACACACACACACACACACACACACACACACACACAGCCTGAAGCGCAGAATACAGACAGGGGGACAGATTGAGACAGAACATCATGCGTCTGTGACAGTGTGTGTCCTGTCACTGTGACCCGATTGATCATGCACCCTGGCTACTTGTACAGGGGAGATCTCCGTTTGGCTGACTGGTTAGCGCGCGTGACTTTCACCCGGGAGTCTGGGGATCGAATCCCGAAGGACCATTTTTTAATATCCGCCACAGATCTCTCTGAAGAACTCAGCATTGACGGCTTCAGCAACGCTGTACCACTCCGTGGATTTTCTCTAAAGCAATTCCTTTCATTTCTCCACCTCACCCACAGGTACCTCAACTTCTGCTTCTGTGAAATTGCGCTTCCTTGATCTGCCTTGATCTGCGGTTGCCATGTCGTTGGCGGAGCGCTGCAACAGCCGGCTTATGTACATGCATGAGGTCCACAAGGCACTTTGCATTGACTATTTATGGCAGTAAGTGGGCGTGGTGAGGGCGGGATGTGACTAAAATGCAGCTGAGAAACATTCTCGTTAGTCTCTGATTTATGAAGCGGAGATTGCGTGCAGCTGTGCGTCCTCCATGTTTGATAGATCACAGACCTGCTTGGCGTAAGTACATTTTTTTGCTGAGCTTAAGTACGGTTTTAGTAAGGATTCTACGCAATGTTAGGAGACCCCCCTGGACTTTGGTCTAAAGCAGCAGAACAAATTCAGCGCTGAGGCTGAGCTCCACTCCGATAAAGTTTCACAGTAAAGTTCTGTCCAACAGGTGATGTCATTTTCTTAAGTTTTTCTATTTTATTCATTCATTAAAGGTGTGATTGACTGAAAACCCATTTTTAATGATTATTTCTGATTAAAATCCATCTCTCTGAGTGTTTCATGCAGGCTGAAGTTGAAAATGGTCTCCTACACCTATTTCCTGCATTATCTTCTGATAGAAAATAGACGGGGAAACTCTAGGATTAGAAAATCCTGACAGATCTACGTCAAGCTGTAGCTTGGACTCACCAATCTTGACTTACGACTGGAAGGCTGTTGTTGGTTTATCATCCAGGAATTAGCAACAAATGTTCCAACAAGTGTAAGCTAACCGTTAGCATTAGCAACTTCACCATACGGCAGAAGCTCTTCCAGGCTTATTTGTGGAGATAAAACATCTACGTTGCAAGTCAGCGGTAAAGTCGTGTTACTGTTATGCAATCTGGGGTGAGATGTCCAAATATCAGGAATAAGACTCCAAATCCTGTCGTCTGAAGTTGCTTTCTCCTCCAGCTCACCTCTCCCTGTTCACATAGGTCAGGGGTCAGCAACCCGCGGCTCTTTGATCCGTCTGATGCGGCTCTCTGTGCTTGTAATGAATAACAAAAATGATGAAGACCTGAAATAAATAAGTGTGTGTGTGTGTGTTAGGTTGTGTGAGTGTGTGTGTGTGTGTGTGTGTGTGTTAGGTTGTGTGAGTGTGTGTGTGTGTGTGTGTGTGTGTGTGTGTGTGTGTGTGTGTGTGTGTGTGTGTTTTAGGTTGTGTGTGTGTGTTAGGTGGTACTTTGCTCTGACCGCAGTCTCGCCGGTGGCGGCGACGCTTCATCAACAACAAAAGTAGAGGCATTTCTCCATTTCCAGCTCTGTCTCCATTTTGTTTATTTTCCGGCATGCAGACGGGGGGCTGCCATCTTGGAATCACGTGATCAGAGAATGTGCTTTGATTGGCCGCTAGAAAAGTTCAGCTCAGCTGGCAGCTCGCAGGGAGAGTTTTTACCCCCCGTGAGGCGAAAAATATCTGACTGGTCAGCTATTCGGCCCAGCGTGTCCTGAGGTAGAAAACTCAGTGAAAATCAGGCGTGGTATCTGCCGAGCAAACGGTCATTCGAGGCCGTTAGCTCAGCCGATTACTCTCGTGTGCGGCAGGCTTAAGTTCTACATCTGACGTCATTGTTCTGCAACATCAGATTATTTAATAAAGGTTCTACTGGTTCTGAAAAAATCCAGAGTGGAGGTACACATTATTTTGTTGGATGTTCATCTGTTCTTTATATCTACGTTACCATTGACCTCATAAGTCTGTCGAGGAAAAGTAGTCACCATGTACATCTCTACGGTTCCATGGCCCAGCCCTATTGGTTCCATGCTGATGGGATGTTTCTCAGTCTGGCTGTTTGAGCGTCTTTAGTTTGATGGATTGTTAGGAGTTCTTCTCTTTAGATGCTTTCAGGAGGTTTTAGACGAGTTTGGTGTTTTTCAGATCTTCTGATTATTTTCTATGTTTCAACATTCCTGACCCAAACCATGGCCCAGACATCAGCAGCAGAACTTAGTTCTTCTCTCTTCCTCTCAGGTGATTGAGTTTTCATCTACAGCCATCGTTGGCTTCATCGCCATGGTGGGAATCCTCTCCATCATCGCTCAGGTATGTAGGCGCGCCGCAGCAGGGAGGTCTCAGGGTTTGTGGATGAACATCACACGCTGATTAGTTTTAGGACGGGGAGTTTCTGGCTGAATCTTCTTGTTTTAGGTGTTCTGACCGTTGGTTGATCGTGATGTCGTGTGTTTGTGTCCATCAGACCCTCCTGCTGAGTCTTTTAATCAGGACCATTGGTAAAAAGAACACAGTTCTGCTGGGTCTGGGCTCCCAGATCCTGCAGCTCCTCTGTTACGCCTTTGGTTCCGAGAAATGGTGAGTCCAAACTCTGGTTCTGTCGGATCAGGTCTTTAGATCTTGCTCATGAATCTGGTTTTTATGGTTGTTTTTTTCCTCCTCAGGATGATGTGGGCTGCAGGAACGCTGGTGGCCATGTCCTCCATCACCTTCCCAGCAGTCTCTGCTTTGGTGTCTCACAACGCGTCAGCCGACCAGCAAGGTGAGTTCACCTGGCCCAGATCTGAGCTTTTTAGACATGGATGTAGTTTCTCATCCAGAGCTTTTCTTGGGTCTGATTTATACTCTGGTGTGTGTTCAGGTGTTGTCCAAGGGATGATCACAGGTATCAGAGGTCTCTGTAACGGATTGGGTCCGGCTCTCTACGGCTTCATCTTCTACCTCTTTAATATGGAGTTGACGGACACACAGCCAGTGGCAGGAAGACAAAACACAGAGGTGCTCACACACACACACACACACACACCATCTATCAGATTGGTGACTTACAGCTAAATATTTAAGCGTGGGTACCTTTTAGTCTCTGAAACAGGAAGTGTTTTCTGTTTGTGGGTAAAACTAATGAATTCTATATTTTTATTTTCTTTGTGTTAAAAGAAAATGCTGGAATGTGTTTTTCTTGTTGGAAACTATTCTTATCTGTGCTAGGGTCATACCGGCTTTTAGCGGGTCATGCCGGATGTTAGCGGGTGGGTCGTGCCGGCTGCTAGCGGGTGGCTCGTGGCAGCTGTTAGCGGGTCGACCTGGCTGTTAGCGGGTTGTGGCGGCTGTTAGCGGGTGGGTCGTGCCGGCTGTTAGCGGGTTGGTCGTGCCGGCTGTTAGCGGGTGGGTCGTGCCGGCTGTTAGCGGGTGGGTCGTGCCGGCTGTTAGCGGGTGGTTCGTGCCGGCTGTTAGCAGGTGGGTCGTGCCAGCTGTTAGCGGGTCATACTGGCTGTTAGCGGGTGGGTCAAACTGGCTGTTAGTGGGTCGTGGCGGCTGTTAGTGGGTGGGTCATACCGGCTGTTAGCGGGTCATACCGGCTGTTAATGGGTCGTACGCTTTGTTAGCGGATCGTGCCGGCTGTTAGCGGGTCGACCTGGCTGTTAGCGGGTCTTGGCAGCTGTTAGCGGGTGGGTCATACCGGCTGTTAGCGGGTGGGTCGTGGAGGCTGTTAGCCGGTGGGTCGTGGCGGCTGTTAGCGGGTCGTGGCGGCTGTTAGCGGGTCGTGGCGGCTGTTAGCGGGTCGTGGCGGCTGTTAGCGGGACGTGGCGGCTGTTAGCGGGACGTGGCGGCTGTTAGTGGGTTGTGGCGGCTGTTAGCGGGTCGTGGCGGCTGTTAGCGGGTCGTGGCGGCTGTTAGCGGGACGTGGCGGCTGTTAGTGGGTCGTGGCGGCTGTTAGTGGGTCGTGGCGGCTGTTAGTGGGTCGTGGCGGCTGTTAGTGGGTCGTGGCGGCTGTTAGCGGGACGTGGCGGCTGTTAGCGGGACGTGGCGGCTGTTAGTGGGTCGTGGCGGCTGTTAGTGGGTCGTGGCGGCTGTTAGTGGGTCGTGGCGGCTGTTAGTGGGTCGTGGCGGCTGTTAGCGGGACGTGGCGGGTTTGCACATGACTAACAAAAGTAGTGGCTTGTTGATGAATTCAGTAGATTTAGAACAGTTCAGTTATTTTATCAGGTTAGTTTGATGAGAGCGTGTCATCCAGCTTAGGGGATTTTCTTGTTTTACACCTCCTGTCACATATACAGCCACATGAATGGCAGCAGCAGAAGAGTTAGGGATTAAACTCACTATAGATTTAGAGAATAGTGCTGAAGGCAGCTTCTGCCAAACCCACGTGCACGGTGGCTCAGAGCGGCCAAACAATGAGTCATGTTGATGGCGGACAGAGTGAGGATCTCTTCCATGTTTTACCAAACAAATCTTCAGATTTTTGAAGATGCTCAGATTAAAGAGGGACTGCACACAGTCAGAAAATGTAACTCCACCCCTAGTCGAGATTTTAAAAATGCTATGAAAGTGGGCGTTGCCAGGAGGCACTGAGTGGCACTGCCAAGTGTGGGGAATTTCCATCCCGGGAGGGAGGGGGAGTGGGAGGAGACTGTACTGATGACATGCCATTGCCCCAGCCAAACAGATTTAAAATGCAGTAGCCACCGTTCAACCCACAGGGGGCAGCACTAAGACGTTTTAGACCTAGATTCTAGATTTAATCAAGTTTAAACAAACATGTCAAAAAATGCACAGAAAAAAAAAAGATTGCATTTGTGAAGACCCAATTATACAGTTTATAAGCAAAAAAGTTCTTTTGGGGTTTAGTTACTCTTTAAATAAAAACCAGAACATGCTAGAATGATGAATGATTATTTAGATGAAGTTTGAGGTTAACAGATTTATTTCTAACATTTCTTTTTGTGAAATTCTGTCCCGACCAGCAGAGATCCGGAATACCGGGCCTGCCCTTCCTGTTCGGAGCGTGTTCCGTTCTCCTGGCCGTGCTCGTTGCCATCTTCATCCCGGACCAGAACCGACTTACCGACACCAAGGCTTCCTGCGCCAACAAATCCACCAATGCCTCCACTGCTTGTACTCAGAACGGAGGCCCTGTGGCCACGCCCACCAGTGATGCGGAGGACATTGAGCCGCTCCTCCAGGACGCCAGCATGTGACTATCAGCCAATCAAAGGGCTGATACTTGTCTGATGGTGCTGCCCACCTGTTTTACTGACTGCTTCGGTATTTGTTTTACACGAGTGAGGATTATTTATTATTGTTGTCGGTTTAACTTGACTTTTGATCAGCTCAAGAGTTCTAGCTCCTCCCTCAGGTGTGCTGGGCAGGTTAACCAAAGGGCTTTAAACTCTGAGAGGACCGGACTTCATGGCAACAGCCCCCCAAATCAGGACGACACCAAACACAGAAATATTTCTCTGTTGTTTCAACCGAAAGAAGAAACAAGCCGCTTGAGATTATGGGATACCACCTGGACTAGTAAAAGGGTTTTTGTTTTCTGGATGTTATTGCTGGTTACCATGACGACAGCCACCCTTCTGCAAACCATCCGGTCAGGAATGAAAATGGACTTCTCAGCTTTTAGCTCCGTTTTTTTTCGTCAGACTGAGCGAAGGAATTCCCATTGTTTGTTTTATTGAATCCTCCCCAGATCAGAACCGGGTCCCGTTTATTCGGATCAACGATGACTAAACATTCCTGTTGTTATTTCTGAAGCTTCTCAGCCTGAGTGTGCTTGATTACTTGATGTGTGTCAGGCTGAAGCTCGTTGATCCGAACCGGAAACCCAAACGGTGCCATTTGTTCCTCTTTATGTGATCCAGTTACCTTCTATTCCACGTTTGTTCACTAGACTGAAACATTCCTAAAGATGCCTCAGAACTGATCAGTTACTATGGTTACGGGGGTGCTGTGTCATAGCAACGGCTCGAACGAGCTGCCTCCTCTAGGCTGAGTTAAGGCCGTTGGTTAAACTCTGATGAACACCAGAGCTTTGGTGGGACGGTGTTTGTGGACGCAGCATCATCAGCAGTCCTGAGGAACTGAGACCGCAGATGTTCCCTGCAGACTGGACCTGTCCCTCTGAAGTTCTGCTGAGTCATCCGTGAATGTCTCGTCCTGTTCTAGGCTTCATGTTGTTGTTGCAGCTGCAGGATCGGGTCCGAATGCCGACCCAGGACAACGGCCGGTTTAACATTTAGGCCAAAACTCCGGTCCTTATTTAACTTTTCTGTTTTCAGCTTCTCAGATTTGATGCTTTGCAGCTTTTGTATTAAAAAGAACTGAATTATTTCCATGAATTAAAATTGATGCCTAAAACAAATCAGCTGCCTGTTATTTTTACATAAATCCTATTTATTTTTAAATCGGGTCAAGAGTCTGATCACCTTGTTTTGTTTTAAAGCTGCAGATGGGCTCATTTCTCAGGCTGAAATCATTGGTTAAATTATTTCTGTTTGGGGGGGGGGGGGGGGGGGGCAGCACCAACATGGCCGCCAGACTGAACGACATGATGAGAAATTCATCTGAACTTTTTGTTTCTGAACCGTTTACTGAGAGAAGTGTTTTAGCTGCTGTTACCATGACAACGGGAAGTAACATATGCCGTCTCCTTCGTCTACATGATGCAGAACATTTGCTGCACTTTAATTTCTCTGACCGTGTGCCTATCTCCACTCATGTTCATATCTGTTTTTATATAAACTGAGATGCTGAAAAAAGCTTCTTGTTGCATTTTTGCAATTTTATCCTAAGAACATAATTTTAATATCTATGACAATAAAAACGAACAACTGTAAACATCTGGTTTGTTTTTATTTCCACTCATCAGAATGATTTATTCTTTGTGATTTCTTATTTTGTTTCTTTTATTGTTTTATTCAGTTTGTTTCATAAATATCTTAAGTGCATTTTTGAAAGGGAAGGGGGTTCTTGATGCAGATTCCAGGTCAGTTTCTTCAGCTCAATCACCCTATCATGATTCTGCCGCCACCGTGCTTCCCCACAGAGAGCATGTGACATCTGCCAGGATTATTTCCAAAGGCTTTTATAGAAATCACGTTCATAAATTCAGAAAAAATATGTTTTTCCTTTGTGTTTTGTTGCCTTAAAAACTTAAATTTTCTTTATTGTCATAAAACATCAAATTGATCAAAGGAGCAGATCTGACGTAATCTACAGTAGCTCTGAAATCAATTCTTAAAGAGCAAGTCACCCCCTACCAGAGTAATACTCCACTCACACTTCCTGTTTGAAAAATGCAACAAATGCTGTTGCCTAGCAGACCGAGAGGGCAAAACTGCTAACAAATACACAAACAGGCTCACAACGACATTGTGACATCATAATGTACCAGCTAACATCATAGTGTACCTCTTGGCCAATAGCGATGGCAGATTAAATTTAAATGCAGTGCACAGTTTTTACCTGACAACGGCGCAACACTTACAGTTTTAGGCACAAATTTAAAATTTTAATTAAGATGCACAGAACTACAAAATTATTGTCTACACGTTTACAGCATGATTAGACACTCATTCGTATAGTTTATCAGCAAAAAAAATGTTGATTTGGGGGTGACTTGCTCTTTAAAGGTTTTATTTAAAAGAAAATATCTGAATCAAATAAACTAAAAGAATCCACAAACATTGAGTCACTCACAAAGCTTCGGTAAAAATGGAATCTTTTATTGAATAAACTTGGTTAAATATGACAGGTTTTACTAGATTCTTTAACCAAAATTATATTTTTAAATTCATATTTAAAATTTCAGCACAAACTTTTTTCTAACTAAACTACTAATTACACAAAACTCTCAAAAGCAGTTTCAACTTTACATCATTCTTCACGTCCTGCTCTCTCGCTTGCCTCGTTTTGGTCTCGGCTGACAAATACCTAAAAAGTTCTTAAATGTTTTCTTAAAGGAAATAAACTGCAGAAGCACAGGAGAAAATAAGAGCTCCTCTGGAAACTTAAAATCAAAACCTTCACTTCCAACTTCTTCATCCTCTTCCTCACAACAGGCAGGAGATGGACACCTTTGTGGTGGAGAAGGGGACGGTGTCTGGTTTGGGACAAATAAAAACACCAGAAATTTGATTAAAAGCCACAGACTGGGGTATTCCACAACTTTCTTCTAACTTTTGGGGTTTTAAAAGTTTTACTTTTATTCCAAAAGATTAGCAATTTAAAAATGTTTCCTCTGGTGTACCCCAGGGCACCGTATCTGGTCCTGTTCTTTGTTTAGCTTCACATCCAGATTCTGCTGTGCTTACTTAAACGCAGGAACACACAAGGGACTTACCGAGCTTTTCAACATTCTGTCTCTAGCACATGAAGAAAGTTTCCAGAATGTAATTAATCCCAAAAAAAAACGTGTTCATAATTCTGGTTCTGCTAAACTGGAAGGTTTCTTTATTAACAGGATAATTCATCCATCTGATCAAGATCATATTTTTATTGGGTTCCTTTAAGCATGAAGCTTTAAAATCTTCTCTGCTAATGTGAAACTCTAAAATATGAAGCTTCGCTGTGTTTTTCCCTTTTATCAGGGATGCGGTCAGTTGATGCTTCTGATGCTCTAACCACCTCAGCTGGCTTGTTCTGAGGAGGAGGAGCAGCGACTCTACGCTGACCTCCTCACTGCTCCTCCTATGGATCAGGGCAAGACTACCCTAGTTACACTGCTATGGACCATGTAGGACATACTGGGTTATCCTGGCTCATCCCTTTAGTTTTGCTGCTGTAGACTCAGGACTAGTGTTTCAGAGAGTATCTGAGTGTGTTTATTTTAGGAAATTCTAAAACCTAAAAGAAACTAAGAACAAAACCCAGAATAAAGAGTTCGTTTCACCTCGGTCCTTCAGCGAGCCGATGTAAACCTCTATGAACTCCTTCTCTCTGCTGTCCTTCACCTCCTCCTTCTGCTCCTTCCACCTTCTCTGCTTCTCCTTTTCTCTCTTTTTCTTCTCCTCCTCCTTTTTCTTCTTCCTCTTTTCGCTGGCGGTGTTGTCGAACAAACGGATCAACCTGTGGGAACAGAGATGCTCCGGTGAAAACCCGCGACCGTTCTGAGGAACTGGATTCTGTTGGTCTGTGTACTTGATGTCTGGGCTGTTGCACAGCTTGGTCGGGAGGCAGGTGAGCTCGTCGCCGCTGACGACGATCACCTTGAGGGTGGAGATGTTGGCGAGACACAGAGGGAGGTAGGACAGGTTGTTCCTGTGGATGAACAAGGTGACCAGCTGCTCCAATCTGAAAGAACAAACACCACCAAAGCCTTTCAGCTACAGTTCCTCAAAGCCTCCACGTGGGATGATGTAGAAGAACTGGAGGGTTTAATTATGACCAGTAAGATGTGATGACTTTATATAAATATAGAATATCAAGCTGATTGATCTTTGAATGTTTAACAAGAAGAATTTAGGATTCTTTGCTTATCCAGTGACCATAACACACTTTGTATTAATTCAGACAGAATCAATTACCGTAATTTCCGGACTATAGAGCGCACCTCAATTTACGCCGCACCGGGCTAAAAGCCGCAGATATCTACTGAATAGAAAACGTAGTTTAACTGAACGTAGCTGAACTGATCAGTATCAAACAAAACAGAAATGTTATTGATTAGTTTATTCATCGTCCTCCTGCGCACTGAAACCACCGAAGTCATCATCTTCTTCAGTGTCGGAGTTGAACAGCCTCAGAAGAGCTTCGTCACACACCTTTTCTGTGGCGATGTCGGTGTCGCTCTCCGTGTTGCTGTCATCGTCCCTGCGTGAAGCTGGGAAAACAAGCAGCGCCGTTTTACTGTGAAAAAAATCCTCCTGGGCGCTTTCCGTAGCGCTCCTTTAACCATTCCTTCATTAGACTTTCCAGCATCCATCCTTTCTGGTTGACTAAAGCCGCACCTCATTATAAGCCGCATGGTTCAAAGCGTGGGAAAAAAGTAGAGGCTTATATTCCGGAAAATACGGTATATAATTAAAAATAAACTTTATTTTATAGACTAATTATAATACATGACAAGCTATAAACAATGATATGTGATGGAGTGTATGTGTGTGTGTCAGAACCTTTGTCTCTGGAAGAACCTGTGAGTTCTGGGTGTAAAAGAATTTGTTGTCTGCTATAAACTACAGAGTTGATTATAAACTCATTCACTGCCAATGACGACTAAATTATAATTAACCCTCATTACAATAATATTCATTTCAACTTCACTGGATTAGGCACAGATTATTCAAACATTATTATTATTATTATTCATATAACATCTGGTTCATTCAACCATATGATTATTTATTGATTATTTAATTTATGCGTTGTAAAAGTTCACTTTTCATTCAGAGTTTGGAATCCAGCGGTTTTATCAGAGGAAAGCTTTGTTTGGAGACGCGGGCTGACAATCTTGTCTTCATGGAATGTAAACAAGCACACCAGAACCTTCTGGGTTGTAGAAGATAGAATATAAAATCCGCTTAGAAAATGGAATTATATCTGTAGATGACCGGTCACTATGTGGGTAAATATGTAGGTGAAAATGGACCCTTTCTGGACGTTACGGGGATGATGACATCATCACTCACCTGTCCATGTCCTGGGGCAGGTCGGTCAGCTGGTTGTTGCTCAAGTCCAGCAGCTGCAGGCTGGTCATCCTCAAGGTGCAGATGGGGATGGAGATAAACCGGTTCTCGGAGATGTCCAGGTGAACCAGCTGCTTCAGGCTGCTGAGCTAGAGGCGGAGTTACACGATGACATCATCAATAGTAACCCACCACCGCAAAAACTACTAACTGATGGAACATTTGGAACCCCAGGCCCGGTCTGTTTCACCTCAAATGGAAGCTCAGACAGGTTGTGGTTTCCTGCCAGGTCCAGTCTCTCCAGCTTCTCACAGGATCCCAGTTCTGGAGGAACTCTGGACAGACGGTTGTAGCTGACGTTCAGCCTCCTGAGCTCGGCCAGCTTCCCTGGACACAGAGCAGTCAGGTGGTTCTGTCTCGGCTCAGCAGCTCAAGTGGACCACAATCAGGTCCAAACTGTTCCCCTCTGATCCACCTAGCTCAGGTCAGGTTCTGAGGGTGGAGACATTAACTGGATCTCACCGATTTCCGGAGGAAGATCTGTGATGGCGTTTTTGGCTATCTCAAGCACAGTGAGCTGGGTGAACAGAACCAGGAAGTCCGGTAGCTGACGGATTCTTGTCCCCCAGATGTGCCACTCCCGCAGGTAGGTCATCCACTGCAGCTCTCTGGGAAAGTCCTGCAGAACCGGGTCAGTTGGTCTTCAGACGTGAACATCACAAAACGCGTGAGAAACTGTGGACTCACCATCCAACGATCTCCATCCAGCCTGAAGATCAGGTTCTTGTGATCCAAATCATTCTCCTCCTGCTGCTGGTCTCCTAGAACTGGATCTGTTGAGTCTGACAACCAGAAGGGTAATCAGGTGTTTGTTTGTTTTTTACCTGTTTACTGATGTTAGTGGGTTTTGTTTACACATTTATTGATGTTAATTCAAATTCAAAAATTCTTTATTAATCCCAGAGGGAAACTGATTGCTGTAGTAGCTCAGAATAATAATAATAATCAGGTCATCAAAGAGTTGTTGTGTATTACGATGGCTGTTGGCAGGAAGGATCTCCAGTAGCGGTCAGTGTTGCAGCCAAACTGAAGAAGCCTCGGACTGAAGACACTCTTCCGTTGTCGGACAGTCTTGTGAAGAGAATGCTCAGGGTTGTCCATCATTTTCTTGATTCTCTGGAGAATCCTTCTTTGCATTATCTCCTCCAGTGGTTCCACAGTCGTCCCCAGAACAGAACCAGCCTTTTTTATTAGGCTGTTGAGCCTTTTCAGGTCCCTGCTTCTGATGCTGCTACCCCAACAGACGATGGCTGAAGAGATTACACTCTCAACAACAGACTTGTAGAAGATCTGCAGCTTCTTGCTACAGACATTGAAGGACCTAAGCGTCCTCAAGAAGTGCAGTCTGCTGTGTCCCTTCTTGTAAACGGCTTCGCTGTTCTTTCTCCAGTCCAGTCTGTTGTCCAGGTGAACTCCAAGGTATTTGTATTCCTCAACCATCTCCACTTCTTCTCCCATGATGGAAACAGTGTTTCACTCCACCCTGTTTCTTCTGAAGTCTAAAATCATCTCCTTTGTTTTGTTCACGTTCAAGGTCAGATGATTGTTTTCACACCATGCCACAAAGCACTCCACCAGCTCTCTGTACTCAGCTTCCTGTCCATCTCTGATACACCCGACAACTGCAGAGTCATCTGAGTATTTCTGTAGATGACAGGTCTCTGACACCGGCCTGTAATTGGAGAAATTGTGTTTATCCCCACCCTTAAACAATGGAACCACCTTAGCAATTTTCATTGCGTCAGGGAAAATTCCTGTTGAAAGTGACAGATTACAGATATAAGTAAACGGATCAGTTACAGATTCTATTATAGCTTTTACAGTCATCATATCCAAGTCCTCATAATCAGTTGATTGTTTGTTTCCACAGCTTTTTACAATGTTCCTTATTTCTTCTTTTTCTACCTTGTCCAGGTAGAAAGTTGCTTCAGTTGCTTCTGTATACTCCTCAATAATTCCCTGTCTCCCTCATTGAAGGCTCTTTTTTTCTCATTTAACAGATTCTTCAGTTCACTGGTGATCCAGGGTTTGTTATTAGCGAAGCATCTCACTGTTCTGGTGGGTATGATGTTGTCCACACAGAAGTTTATATAGTCAGTGACACATCCAGTCATGGCATTGATGTCCTCTTCATATCCTTAGCAGAGAGTCATCCAATCTGTGGTCTCAAAGCAACCCTGCAGGGCTTCTTCAGCGTCCTGTGACCATTTTCTCACAGTTCTTCTTGTCACAATTTGCCTCTGAACAAGTGATTTGTATTCTGAGCAGAGAAAAACAAGAATGTGATCTGATTGTCCCAGAAGAGGTCTTGTTTTGGACATGTATGCATTCTTTACATTTACATAACACAAATCCAATGTCTTGTTTTCTCTGGTGGAGCAGCTGACAAACTGTTGAAATGTTGGAAGTGTAGCAGAGAGCGAGGCATGATTAAAATCACAAGATATAGCCACAAATGCATTGGGGTGCTGGGATTGTAGCTTAGCGACAATGGAACTGATGGCATCACATGCACTTTCAGCAATGGCTGAAGGTGGAATATAAACAGTTGCCAAGACAACACTGGTGAACTCTCTTGGCAAATAATATGGGCGACAACTTACTGCCAAGAGTTCAACATCTGGGCTGCAGAGACGACATTTCACTGAAACATGACCTGGATGGCACCATCTGTTGTTGACAAGCACTGCCACTCCACCTCCTTTTCTTTTCCCGCTCCTCTTCAGATCTCTGTCTGTTCGTACAGTCAGGAATCCTGGCAGAGAGACGCTGGAATCGGGGATATGGTCCTGCAGCCACGTCTCAGTGAAACACATAACACTGCACTGCCGAAACTCTGGCTGAGTCCTTGAAAGGGCTCTGAGTTCCTCCATCTTGTTGGCCAGTGATCTCACATTGCCTATTATGATCGATGGAAGAGATGGTTTGAATTTCCTCTTTCTCTGTCTCCGTTTTGCTCCCGCTCTGCACTCATGCTTCTTGCGTTTTAGCTCATTTGGTAAAATAGCAGTAAAAATCCTCCAAGCTTCACAGCACCAGAAACAGAAAAGTAAAATGTCCAAAATAATACAGTTTTTCTTGAGAAACCAGAAGTAAAAATGTCCAAGAAAAGGCAAAACTTACATATAGTCAACAGAGCTACTCCAACATGCAGCCACCCAGAGCAGCGCAGTTCCGGAACATCAGGTTTGTTTACCTGTGAGCAGTAGTGTGTTGTGGGTACTTGTGTGTGGTTGAGTGGATCTCTCCAGGTACTGGTGCAGCTGGTGCTTTTCTGTGGGCTTCAGGGTCTTACAGTAGATCCGATACTGCCATTCCTGATCGATCCTGCAGACAGGAGCATGACACATCAGACCAGATGATCTGATTTCTTATCAGGGAATGTGACCTTTCTGCTGTTAGGAAGCTGGGACCTGCTCCACCACTGACGGATAAAAATAACATCATGTGTTCATCTGACTAACATCAGCGTCCTCACTCAGAGTTCACCACTATCAGCTGTTTCTGACTCAGGCTGTAAACAGGCTGATGTTGCATGTTAGTTTCAAACATTTGACTCATTTAGTTTTAATGTTCGCTGAAATCTTCGAAGGCTGCATTACTTATCCCAGGTGTGCAGACATCTGGATCCTGTTTCCACTCTAAGAACCTGATCTGCTGAAGCTGTAGTGAAGCTTGCAGGAGCAGGAAGAGGCGCGGCAGTCGTTCCTGAGCTCAGCTTTCAGCTCATTAAGTCGTTTACTTTGATTCTCCCTACATCAAAATAATTTATAATATTTTACTTTTCCATGTTTTAGCCTGAAGTGTAGGGATGGATGGGAATGAGCACAGCCCTGCTGCTGCTCGCAGGTGAGGAATTATTTATGGCTTTTACCCAGAAACATGCTGTAATGTAGATGAAATGTCCCTTTAAGTCAGCCGAGTCCAACCCTGGTCAGATAATTAAAGGCTTCTTCTGAGCTGCTGAGCAGGTGATCCAGGTGTGTTGGAGCAGGTCTGGGTCAGTCCAGAACCTGGGTTGGACTCCTCTGCTTTAAGGCATCAGGAGGCTAATGAAACATTGACGTGTTGTTGCTTCACTGACCTGGCGAGGGCGCTCTTCTCCACCCGTTCCTGCTCCTTCTTCTGTTTCTGTCTGTATTTCTTCACCCGGACCTCCCAGATCCCTTTGATCAAGGACAGGTCGTAGACCGGAACGTCCACCTTCCTCTCTGGACCCATCTCTGCTGGAGGAGGATCAGGGAGCCAGACTCATCATCACAAATTATTTAAAAGTTCTTTCTGTCCTTTTTCTGCAACATTTGGACCATTTGCTTGATTAAACTGACTCGAAATATTTTATTTGTTCTTCCATTCATCTATTCTCTTCTACTGATCCAAGATCAGCTCAGGGAGGATCCAAGAGTTCCCAGACCAGAGAAGATCCCTCCAGAGATCTGGATCTGTCTGGAAAACCTTCAGGAGGAGACCAAGAGGCACCTCCTGACTGACTCCTGATGAGGAACAGCATCTCTACGTCCTCTGATGGGTTAAAGCTCATTTTGGCTTCACAAGATATTCTTAAAAAATCTGAGTATATTGAAGACAAATCATCAGTGTGTGTAAAATGTGTGTTACTATGAGTTATGGTGTTTTAGTATTAGACAGTGAGTCTGCAGGTAGAAGGAAGCTAAGGTTGGAGCCACCAGGCAGGAAGCTGAGAGGAAGACCTAAAAGGAGATTTATGGATTTTTGGTGAAAGAGAACAAGAAGTTAGTTGGTGTGAAGTTAGAGGATGTAGAAGATAGGACTATGGACACAGATAATTGTGAGTAGGTGTGTCCTAATATTAGTGTGTGTTATTGAGTATTGGTGTGTGTTAGTCTAACAAACACCAATACTCACTAACACATATGTCATGGTCTGCGTTCTGCATCTCCCTCATGTCTCCTTGTGTTCTCCATCCCTCTCTAGGTTCCCCTGATGTGTCTCTGTGTGTGCCTCATGTGTCTCCTTGTGCCCACTCCAGGTTTTCCCTTTAGGTGTTCTTTGGTTTCTGTGCCCCTTTAGGTCTGCAGGTCCCTCCAGGTTTCCCCGTAGTGTTTTCTGATGTAGTAATCCCATCCTTGTTGGTGTTTTTCTTCTGGTGTCTTGTTTTCAGGTTTTCAGGAGTTCACTCATCTGTAGATTTATTTTACCTAGTCAGTTTTCCCCACTCAGTTAATTGGTCTCACCTGATCCCTTCTGATTACTCCCCACACACCTGTCACCCGTCTCCCTGATTGTTTCCCTTTGTGTATGAAACCCTGTCCGCGTCTCAATGTGTTGTCGGTCCATTGTTTGTGTCAGCGTTGTCTCCAGGTCTCCAGGTCTCCAGGTCTCCAGGTCTCCAGGTCTCCAGGCCTCCAGGTCAGCTCTTTAAGTGAGCTCTTTGTCTCTAGGTCTCTTGGTTTTTTCATACTAGGATTTTTGGGTTTTCGGTGTTGACTTCTTGCCTTTTGGATTTACTTTTGGACCATCGCTCCTAACAAAGGAGTTTAAGTTTATTTTAACTCCTGCCTCGTGTCTCCCTGGTTCTGCATCTTGGGTCCTAACCTGCCCCCCCCCCCCCCCCCCCCACTCGCATCGTGACAACACACTAATACTACTCGTGAGTAGTGCGTGTGAGTTTTAGTAACACACACCAACACTCACTATTACACACTAATACTACTAGTGAGTAATGTGTGTTAGTATTAGTATTAGTGTGTTTTTAGCAGGGATCATGAACTCTCAGGTCCTACCTGTTAGTTTCCTGCTTTCTCCGGCTTGTTTACTGACACTGAAACACACACATCTGTGCCCTGACTGTGTGTGTGTGTGACCCAACATTCTATTTTTACCTGCAGTGTGTGTGTGTGTGTGTGACCCAACATTACATTTTTACCTGCAGTGTGTGTGTGTGTGTTACATGACTCTGTACACTGACACTCCCCATGTGTCCCCAGACCATCATGACGTGTTTCCTCTGGAACTCCTCTGATGACGCCAGGACGCCTCCCAGAGGGCGAAGGGGCAAAACCTTTAGTTTTCAGCTTTTTCTAACATTTTTAAATTCCTTTATTCATACCTGGAGGTGAAAAGTTCAAAGAGAAATCTTTTTTAAATAATAATGTCTGGTGTTAATGAAGTAGAAATATCTTAAAAATAAATGTATTATTCAAACAAAAATTAAGTTTAACTTATTATTCTAACTAGATCTTTATTTCAAAGTTCAGGATTAAAACTTATACTTTAGTTTTTTTTCCTTTAGTTTGTTATTTTCAAATGAACAAACTTTATTGCTGTTATTTTAGCTCCATGATCTGATGTGTTTTACATAAATTCAGTGAAATTAATGTTTCATTCAGGGCTCATTAAGGATGTGCTGGTATTATCTTTTTGAAAAGTGAAGTTTAATAGTTATGATCTTTAGGCCAGGTGCCGCAAATATAGAAAATAAAACATCTCAGAATCAGAAATAAATCCTTTATTAATATTTTAGCTTTCAGATGAACGTAAAAACATCTTTGTTCAACATTAGAAAGTCTGAAAGTAACAAGAACAAAAAGCTTCGAGTCCTTGGCAGCTAAAACATTCCATATCTGAAACTTCTGTTGAACTCGGTTTTCCTTCTCATGCTTTCCCTGAGTGTTTTCCGCTCTTCCAACTGGACGGATCAGGTTTTCCTTATGGAACCTTTCCGGCAAGAAAACTACTCCTTGTTGTGGATTTTGGAGTGAAGACTCAAACAGCCGTCTTTACTGACTCTCCGTCTGTGCATCTCCATGTGAACCTTCAAACTTCCCTTCTGGGTGAAACCGTTCCCACACTGGCTACAGACGAAGGGCTTCTCCCCGGTGTGGATCCTCATGTGGATCGGCACGTACCGTTTCTGGCAGAAACGTTTCCCACAAACGTCACATCGGTACAACCGTTCCTTCTCGCTGCTGGAACGAGCGGAAGGGACTCCATCCCTACTCTGCCTCTCACGGGTGTGGATTTTCTGATGTTGGATTAGATTATTCCTTTCTCTAAATCTCTTCTTACAAGATCCACAACCAAAAGGCTTTATGGCTGAATGGGTCCGTTTGTGCTGACTTAACCTGGAAATGGAGTGGAATCTTTTCCCACACGTTGGACAGGGAAACGGCCTCTCTCCGGTGTGGATCCTCATGTGGTTCAACAGACTGTACCTCTGCAGCAGACCGAGCCCACAGATCTCACATCTGTACGGTTCTCCAGTGTGGATCTTTTTATGAAGGTTTAATCTGTAGTAGGAGTGCAAGGCTTTCCCACAGATTTCACATACACGGGGTTTTAAATGGCCCTTCAGATGTGTGTTTAATGTATGGCTGGACCCGTATAGTTTCCCACAGATGAAACAAAGGAACTTCTTCTCATGACCTCTCACGTGGACCGATAAGGCGTCGTTGTCTGGACACGTTTCACCACACACTTCACAAACAAACGGCTCTCCATCCTGGTCCCTCTCCTCCTGTCTGACGTTCGGATTTGTTAAGTCTGGAAAAAGCGACACAAAAGGGCTCATCGTGAGTGAGAAGTTAACAGCAGTCAGACACATTTGATCTGGATGTTTATCGGGTTTGTTCCTGGAGGGAATGTCGTCTCCTTTTGCTTCAGAAGGATTTTTTTTCTTCAACATATGATAAGAAGACAAAACGATAAGAAACAGGGACGCCCTGGTACCAAAAGTACTCGGATACCACAGAACGATCCCACTTCATGGATCAGCAGGAGTGAACTCTGTTTGGAAGGATTTGGTATCAGAGCAATAATCATAAAAATCTTTTATGAAACATTTTAGAACATTAATCATTCATAATCTCAATCCAAAATGACTTCCTGTCTCTGGCTCCTTCAAAGGCAGTTCGAAATCTGGGTGTTGTGATTGATGAACACTTGACCTTTAAAGATCATGCTGCCTCTGTTGCCCGTTCATGCCGCTTTGCGCTGTATAACATACGAAAGATCAGACCATACCTAACACAACATGCCACCCAGCTCCTGGTGCAATCTACTGTCATCTCCCGCCTCCATTACTGCAACGCCCTTCTAACTGGTCTTCCAGACTGTACTGTGAGACCTCTTCAAATGGTCCAGAACGCAGCGGCGCGTCTGGTCTTCAATCAGCCAAAAAGAGCACACGTCACCCCTCTGCTCATTGAGCTCCACTGGCTACCGCTAGCAGCACGCATCAAATTCAAATGGCTAACACTAGCATACAAAGTCCGAGATGGTACGGCTCCCATCTACCTGAATCCTCTTGCAAAGGCTTACGTCTCGGCCCGGCCGCTCCGGTCATCACAGGATCGTCGGCTAGCAGTGCCTACACCACGCTCAGGACAATCCAGACTTTTCTCATGCATCGTTCCACAAATGTGGAATGACCTTCCAAGCACGACCAGAACAGGAGCTTCCTTTTCAATTTTCAAGAAACTCCTGAAGACCCTGCTCTTCAGAGAGCATCTTCTAAACTAGCACCCTCCTTGCACCCGTCCCCCCTCTCTACCGTCCACTCCTTGTTCCCTCCTCTCCATGATTGATGTCAAGTTGTTGTTGTTATTGTTGTTGTTAGCCTCAAGGGCAATATGCCGATTATCACTTGTAAGTCACTTTGGACAAAAGCGTCTGCTAAATACATAAACAAACATTTGGGCTTTGCATTTTATTAAAATATTATTGGGTAAAGAAATCTTTTTTCTTTCAAACATTAGAAAATTATTCAATTATTTAAATTATTTTTAGGGAATTGATTTGAGGATTTGGGATGGATGAGAAGGGAAACCTTCAGTAAAAGTCGGATTTGTGTTTAGAAAGTCATTTATTTGACTAGTTCTTGTGGAATTCCTCTTTTGTTTGAACTCATTCCCGCTTGTTCCCTGACTGTTTAGTGTTTTTCCTGCTGAATCCACTCTAGACTCATAAAGAACTATCTAGTTTTTCTTATTTGCACCATTAAAATATTTATTGTCATTTGAGCGCTCCAGCTCCCCTGCTTCTCCTTCTGAATGTCCTCCAGCTGAGCACCAACCTGAGTTCCACCTTCCTAGAGAACATCCACTACTGGTTTGAGGATCCTTCTCATTAGAGACGGCACGCCCAAACGGATCTTCGCTGCGGATGGGAATTATCTTTGAAGGAGACAAAATTCACCTTTTGAATCATTTTGTGTTGCCATACCGATCTCTACTGCCTTATAAACACATGAGTAAAAACACAACCATCAATTTTTCTGTCGGTATTTGGTTTTGAGTTGTTTCATAACGTCCCTGTTTGTGACATCACAATAAGGAAGATTAGAAGATTTTCTGGATGAGAAGTTAAGCGTCTTTAGGTAACAGGAACAGTGAATCTTTGTTGTTCTATAAGTCTGGACCCTGATGGTCCTCTCGGCCTCGCTGAAGCCATCTTACCTTCCTCTCCCGCCATCTCCGCCTCTAACCAACCACGGCGTCCCGCTGCTTCATCTCCGACGTTCTCTTCCAACCTGAAACCACGACTCAGCAGAAAGTCACTTTGCTCGGCATGTTTCCGTGTGAGCTCTCTGGAGGCTCTTGATGTGAACCTGATGATGATGGGTCGTGGGTCTCCTCCTGCCTTCAGAAGACCCAGACGGTGAGCGTCGTCCACATCTGCTGCCACCCGGTCCTTCTCCTCCTCTGGAACCAGCGCTTTACAAACCTCTCTGGTCTTTTCTCCAACATCCTCTGAAGAGTCTTCTGCGACACCATGAAGCCCCAGATGAAGACCACGGCTGAAGGCTTCCTGTTTGCTCATCAAGACCTTCAGTTCTGACATCTTTTGTCTCAACTCCCCATTCTCTCTGGTCAGCTTCTCGTTGTCCGTTTGAAGATGCAAAGCTTGATGTTGGAAGGACTGGAGAGCTTTAGCTATGTCTTGAATATCATCTGAGATACCTTTGATCATCTTCTCTATTCCACCTGACCTGCTGTTGATCCTATTAGCAAAAGCTTGGATGATTTTTTTCTGGAGTTCAATCTGAGGCAGAACCTCAGCAGAGCTCCTGGACCGGTTAGGATCCTGACTGGTCGATGTTGGAGACCCAGGTTCTCCTGCAGGAGGTTCCTTACAGGCGTAAGAATGAATGTCTTTGATGATTCTTAATATTTCATCGGGATTCACATCCGTTACCTCCACAACGTTCAAATCTGCGCTCTCCATCCAGTCATCCAGACTTGAGCCTCGCGCTCCTGGGAGTCCGTTTCCGGTTGTTTGGGTTCCGACCGTCGGTTCCGACTGTTTCTTTATTTCACGTCAAACTTTTCTGTGGTTCCTTTTCTCACATGAGTTGTTTCGGGGGTTGATCCCATCCTAAAACGGTCCCACACCGGACTTCTTTTCTGGCGTCGGGTTCCCGCTAAAATGTTGAAATGTTGACGCAGGATGTTTTAATCCATTGAGGTCTGTAACCATCAGCCTTCAGGATGTTTTTCTGCTACACTTCAGGAAAAAGCAGAAAATGAAAAGACACCACAAACAAGAACTCAGTTAAAAACAAAACAAAAAAAAGATGAAAAGATGGTTGAGAATTCACTGGATTCGGTAAGGGAACATGTTGACGTGTAACACCAGAGGATATGACGTCACAACGGGAGTATGTCTGGCTGCCATCTTAGTCAGGATATTCCGATTTTTGTTTAGAAAATGTAATACAATTTTGAACATTCAAATGTATCAAATGCAATCTGATAGGTTTTTTCAACAAATATAATTTATTTTATACAGTTTTTATTTAAAAACAGAAACAGAAATTTATATAAAATCCCAAATATTTGGGATAAACAAAATAAAATGGAACTATTCCCTTTTTGTTTTATTTATTGTTATTATTGCATTTAATAAATTGGGGCAGTAGTGTGGCAGGGTGGAGGGGCGAGGGTCCAGGTGGGATTTGATAACCAGGCTCCTCGATGAGGGTCATGCGAGTTAGCCAGTCAGCCAAAGGGACATCACACCTTGCCACATTTAGCGTTGTTACAGGATCTATGTAGTACTGTGAGGTAGGTCCATGGATTTAAAATTTGTGGCACCTTGCGCGGGAGCACGGGAATGTGCTTGTGGAAACAGAAGGGAAGATGTGACAGGGTGAGCATCCTGTCACTGTATCCTGATTGATCATGCGCCCTGGCTACATGGCCACAGAGATATCCCTTTGGCTGACTGGATAGCGTGCATGATTTTCACCTGGGAGTCTGGGGATTGATTCTCGCCCAGGCCCTAATTTCTCCACCTTGCCATGTTATGAACATCAGCCTTCCTGGATGCCTCCCTTGAGAGTTTTTCTGGGAATTAGCATCTGGGAAGACACCTAAAAGAAGACCCAGGACATGCTATCAGTTCTTATAAGTATTTGGGTATCTGGCTTGACAGCACACTTTCATTTGACATTCACATTATTTCATTACTTTCTACTTTCTTAGAGGCAGGTTGAGTGGGTTGGCAAGTAATCTGAAGGTTGCATGTTCAATCCCAGTTCCAGACAGAGAATTCAGCCGTTGTGTCACTTAACCCACCTTGCCTGCTGATGGTGGTCGGAGGGACCGGTGGCACCTTAGCTCAGCAGAACAGGTAATCATAACTCACCTTCATTTTGTTCCAGCAGGATGTTACATTGGTATCAATTTATATACTAAACAATCATCAGTAGAACCCCGTCATACCTTCGCTCATTAATCATCACTTTCAACCACTAGCGCAACTTTCGTTCCAGTAACCTAATCTCTATGGTTATTCCCAAAGCTCACACCTCCTTTGGCCGCTCCTCATTCCAGTTTGCTGCTTCCAAACACTGGAATCAGAAATCACTGAAGCTCACTACCTTTATTCTACCTTCAATAATTCATGGTGATCAGTAGTTTCTGATCACCGTACCTGCTTCGAAGTACTTATAGATTATTTTAAGTCTGTTTTGATTGCTCGTACATATACATGAGAACAATCATTTGTCTTTATGTCTATGTTTTTATCTTATCTGTTTTTCACGGTATTAAGCTACTTATGTGTCTGTTGCTGCTGCCTCTAGGCCAGATCGTTGTTGTAAATGAGAATGGGTTCTCAATCTAGTCATCTGGTTAAATAAAGGTAAAATATAAATAAATAAATGAAGGGACTACATTTCTCGTCTGGTCTGTGATCATCTTAGGCATGTCCTGGGGGAGCTAGCCCAAGTGGCTGGGGTGGGAGCATCTTGGTCCATCTTCTGTTGTTTGTGCACAACCGGTGTCGGTACAGGATCGGCTCGGGGTCCTTCGACTGCCGATGACGTCACATTACTGCAAATCTACTCGGCTTTCACACACACACGTTTTGGAAAGACATCAGCAGTTTTGTTAATAAATTCTTATTTGTTGACACCTAAATGTTTTCTTTATAATTTTAATTTGTTAATAAAACACCATATTATCTTTGTTTGGTAAAGAATGTGAAACTGCATAAAACCAACATCGGACTGACAAAAAACAGAACGGTTCTTATATGTGAAGCCACGTCTGTTAGTATTAATGTGGAGCTCGTCTGTATATTTCCTTAGTTGTTATCTAAATACATTCTTTGACTCAAAATGTTGCTTGGTGTCTTTCAATAAAGTTCTTATATTTTATTTTGCCCCATTTCATCAACATTAAGAGCTTTTGAGGGTCACCGTTTATCATTTGCTTATATTTTACATTTCCTTTAGAAATTCAAACATATTTTCTCCAAAAAGTGTTGATTTTTGGACTACAGGACTACAACCGCTAAGACTACGACCGCAAATTTGTTCTGACCAATCAAAATCATAACGGGATAACGTCACTTCCGTAAGCTTCATGTTCAGCCAATCAACTACTTTGACGTCATCGGCAGTCGAAGGACCCCGAGCCGATCCTGCACCGACACCGGGTCACAGGTCAACATACTAAACATTACAAACATCATTCTCCCTCCTGGAGAAAAACATGAAACAAATATGTGAATGTTTAAAATGTCTGTTTTTATCTCTGGTGCTGACGGGTCATCTGGTGCAGGTAGACTTGGTTCAGTTTCCTCAGATTTGTTCTTCAAAATGAAATCTTTTTAAGCAATTCTCCTGATGTTGACTGGACAATAGTGATGCGTCGGTCGCGAATGAACCGGCTCTAAGAGCCGGCTCTATGAGGTGAACGACGGGAGCCGGCTCGTCATTGGGAGCCGTCACCCTCCCTCTTGTTTTGGTGAAAGCTACAGGCGATTGGTCAACATGTGTAACTGCGTGTCCAGACTGTCCACACACAGAGCAGCAGGGGCGGGGAAGAGGGAGGATCGAACTCAGACACACAACAGAGCACATGCGGGCGGAGGGAGAGGGAATGAGGAGGAGGAAAAAGGCGAGCGAGAGAGACGAGAGTGCGACGAAGACGGTGTAAGGAAAATGAGCGCCAGCAGTCGGAAAGTTGAGATTTCTTAAAGTGTTCAGTTATTAAATCCATATAAATGATAAATATTTGATATATTGCATTTTTTTACATTAGTTAATCATTTTACACACAGTTTAGCATTATTTTTGGTTATAAATGTACTCTACGCAACAGAAAATCTGAGGAGCTCTCTAAAAAGAGCCAGAATTCCCATCACTACTGGACACACAAATTTAAGATATTTTTCCTAAATTTGTTGTTTTGACAGATTTGATGGACCTAAAGGTTTGTGGAGTGATCATGACTGAAAGTTTCAGAAAAGTTTCTTAACTGGGACACCCACCTGCTTATTTCTTCTTTGATAAGGAAGGATTTTTTATTAATTTATTTTCTGGAACAGCGCTGCTCTGGGTGGCTGCATGTTGGAGTAGCTCTGTTGACTATATGTAAGTTTTGCCTTTTCTTGGGCATTTTTTCTTCTAGTTTCTCAAGAAAAACTGTATTTTTTTGGACATTTTACTTTTCTGTTTCTGTTGCTGTGAAGCTTTTAGCTTTTTTCACTTTTTGAGCATTTGTTATGATGCGTAACCATGGCAACAATCTGGTTTACAATCGGGAGCAGCTGATTAACATTGGGAAGGCTGAAATAATACCTCAACTGAAGCCACAAATCCCAAATGAGCTAAAACGCAAGAAGCGTGGGTGCAGAGCGGGAGCAAAACGGAGACAGAGAAAGAGGAAATTCAAACCATCTCTTCCATCGATCATAATGGGCAATGTGAGATCACTGGCCAACAAGATGGAGGAACTCCAAGCCCTTTCAAGGACTCAGCCAGAGTTTCGGCAGTTTCGGAACCGCTGGAGGAGATAATGCAAAGAAGGATTCTCCAGAGAATCAAGAAAATGATGGACAACCCTGAGCATTCTCTTCACAAGACTGTCCGACAACGGAAGAGTGTCTTCAGTCAGAGGCTTCTTCAGTTTGGCTGCAACACTGACCGCTACTGGAGATCCTTCCTGCCAACAGCCATTGTAATATACAACAACTCTTTGATGACTTGATTATTATTATTATTCTGAGCTACTACAGCAATCAGTTTCCCTCTGGGATTATTAAAGTATTTTTGAAATGAATTGAAGAATATTATTCTGTCTCAATAAAAAGATCAAAACAGATCATCCTGTGAAAAACCCCAAGGTAGCAAAGCTCCCATGGTGCACCAACAGCTTCAGATTTCTTTATTTACACAGAAAACAAGCAGCTGATTCAGCTTTAAAAACACAACTGAAGAAGATTCTCTATAGAACAAAGAGTTACTGTCAGAACTAAAATAAAAAAGGGAAAAAAACTTTCATGGCAAATATTTTCATGCTCAGTTTAATCAAATCTGCCGCATTCGAGCAGGGAAACATCTAAAATTGGCAGGAATCTGGCATTTGCAATCAATGCTAATGCTAAAACAGGCTTCAACAATAGCATAAGGTTGAATGCTACATTATCACTTAACCTTACTCACATGGGAAGTCCTTCATCGTTCCCCTTCCTCCTCTTCTTCAGACTGACATGAATTCAATGCAGGTTGAGTTAGCATTCCAGCTAGGTCGGTACGCTAAACTGGCCGAGGCACGTCTGTGTCAACCTGCAATGCATGCTGGGAACTGGGGTGCATTGTTGTGCATTGTTGTTACATTCTTGTGTATAAACGATTCTATTGGTCAATCCTCTAGGCCACCTGCTGAATGAAATCAGGTGTGATGATGCAGAGTTGAAACTAAAATATGCTGGATAGCGGCCCTTGATGGGACCGGGGTTCCCCACCCCCACCCCTGCTCTAGACTCACATAAATGAGGTTTTAATGAAAGTTTTGGAGTCCTACTGTCTGATGTTTGGACATCTGTCCTCGGACTGAACAGCAGCAACGTGCAAATGAACAGAATGGATATAAAGCTTTGGGTCTAGATCCTGAACATTAAACCAATGAAGTGAAGATTCTGTATGTTAAAAGCTCCCTGACCTGAAACATCGTTCTAATTCTCTCTCTCTGACCATTCCCTCACCCCATAAAGTTTTCAGCACCTTCACCACCAGCTTAAGACCCGTTGTGATTGGTGTTACGCACGGTTTCCCCGGGTTGGTTCACTGAGATCTGAACCCTTTTTTCTGTGCTTGTCCATGTGACGGGACAACGTACTTTCCCTTACGAAGCTTTTGCCACAGGTCCGGCAGGCGAAGGGCCTCCCAGCCGTGGTGTGGGTTCTCGTGTGACTAACTAAACCAAACGCAAACTTGAAAGTTCTATCACAGAACGTACAAGAATACGACCAGGGAACTGAGTGGGTCTTGAGGTGTCTGTTCAAGAAATCTCTGCAAACGTAAGTTTTCTCACAGATGTGACAGGAATACGGCCTCTCGCCCAAGTGCAATCTGACGTGATTCTTCAGACTGCGGTTGTTTGAGAAGCCGATCTCACAGACGTCACAAACAAACGGGCTCTCGCCGGTGTGGATTTTTATGTGTCTGCTTAACATTGAAAGGAACTGAAATCTTTCCCCACAGATGAAACACAGGAACTGCTTCTCACCCACGTGACCCCTCATGTGAACCAACCAGGCATCATCATCCGAACATGTTTCATCACACACTTCACACTCGAGTGGCTTTCCAGCTTCCCGATCCATCCTGTCAGCCGCAAGAGAACTCGGAGACGGATTCAGGCAGACGCTGGGTTCTGGATTACCAGCGGGAGTCTCTGTGAATGGATCAGCCTCCCGATGCAGAGAAAACTGTCCTGATTCCTGAAATGAGCTCAGTTCATCCTGTTCTTGCTGAATCTGAGAAGGTTCTGGTTCCTGCAGCTCCAGACTGGAGTTTCCCTCCTGGTGAGACGGAACTTCCCCCACACCAGTAGTTTGTGCAGGAAAGTCTGGAAGGACAAACAGGGAAAAGGGTCCACCATGAGCAACATAGGTCCAAACAGGTTTGCTAGTAAAAGACTTTTTTGGATGAAATATTCTGTGTTTTATAGTTACGACCAAATACTAAAACAAAACATTTCACTAGAGCAGAGGGGCCCAATTCTGGTCCAGCATGTTTTTTTAAACCCTGTTTCAGACCTAAACCAAAAACTCAAACATCACTGTAGATCTAGCTTCCCTACATTGGCTACCTGTGAAATTCAGAATAGATTTTAAGATCCGTCTTCTCACATATAAAGCTCTTAATAATCAAGCTCCATCATACATCAGGGACCTGATTGTTCCATACGTTCCTAACCGAGCACTTGGCTCTCAGACTGCAGGTCTACTGGTGGTTCCCAGAATATCTAAAAATAGGATGGGAGGCAGATCTTTTAGTTATCAGGCTCCTCTCCTGTGGAACCAGCTCCCAGGTTTAGTCCCTGAGGCAGACACCTTGTCTACTTTTAAGACTAGGCTTAAAACATCTTTATTTGATAGGGCTTATGGTTAAAATCTGATGTTAGCCTAAATCTGGACAAGTGGGGGAGTAGAGGGAGGTGGAGTGTACAGTCGGTAAAGTCGACTCTCCCTTGCCCTGCCTCCAACATGCCTCCATCTAAAAGGATAGATTATCCAGAGTTATCTCTGTAGTTATGCTGCTATAGGCTTAGACTGCTGGAGGACACACTGACCACTTTTCACACTCTACTACTTTCTTCTACAATCTGCTCTTTAACTGTATTATTTCCTGCTATTTCAGCTGTTAAATTTATTTTCTCTCTAAGTGTTTTTCTCCCCAGAAGAAGCTACAACGATGTTCTGCTGAGCTGTGGTGGCCTCATGGAGGGGGCCATCGTCTAGCACACTGCTGCTAACCACTTAAACATTCTCCCTCTCCTGATAATAACTTTTTGCTTTCCTTGACGTTGGATGTGCTACTACTAGTTTACCCGTTTAATTATAGATCCACTAGGATAAATACAATAAAGTTTATCTCTCGCCAAATAGAATATTTACTAAGAAATCACAATATAACTATAGAAACATTACTTGGTGTGTGTGTGTGTGTGTGAGAGAGAGAGAGAGAGAGAGAGAGAGAGAGAGAGAGAGTCACAGAGAGAGAGAGAGAGAGAGAGAGAGAGAGAGAGAGAGAGTCACAGACTAGGCTAGGCCAAACTTCTTGCATCATTTGGGGAGAGTGTGTGTGTGTGTCTGCTCTGTCTTCTCGATCCCCAGTGAGTCGTGGAGGATGGCTGCTTATACTGAGCCAGGATCCTCTGGAGGTTTCTTCCTGTTAAAAGGGAGTTTTCCTCTCCACTGTCGCTAAATACTTGCTTAGTATGAGGATTGCTGTAAAGTCACTGACACTAGTCAGTGACAATGCAATTTGCTGGGTTCCTTATATAGGAAACATTTTTTCTGACTGACCTGAATTGGAATGTTTATTATATGAAGGTCCTTGAGACGACTCTTGTCGTTATTTGGAGCTTTATAAATAAACTTGAATTGAATCTACCTTTAGCAGATTGCTATTTACCATCTAGACCAGGGCTATTTGATTCCGGGCCTCGAGGGCCGGTACCCAGCACATTTTAGTGGTTTCTCTGGTCCAACACACCTGTGCGGCAGCAACTGTGCTAGGCTCCGCCTACTAAATGAAATCAGTTGTGTTGACGCAGGGTTAAACCCAAAACGTGCTGGATATCGGCCCTCGAGGCCCGGAACTGCATAGCCCTGATCCAGACCCTGCATGTTTGTCTGGACCCTGATGGTCCTCTCTGCCTCGCTGAAGCCATCTTACCTTCCTCTCCCGCCATCTCCGCCTCTAACCAACCACGGCGTCCCGCTGCTTCATCTCCGACGTTCTCTTCTAACCTGAAACCACGACTCAGCAGAAAGTCACTTTGCTCGGCATGTTTCCATGTGAGCTCTCTGGAGGCTCTTGATGTGAACCTGATGATGATGGGTCGTGGGTCTCCTGCTGCCTTCAGAAGACCCAGACGGTGAGCGCCGTCCACATCTGCTGCCACCCGGTCCTTCTCCTCCTCAGGAACCAGCGCTTTACAAACCTCTCTGGCCTTTTCTCCAACATCCTCTGAAGAGTCTTCTGCGACACCATGAAGCCCCAGATGAAAGCAGCGGCTGAAGGCTTCCTGCTTGCTCACCAGGACCTCCATTTCTGACATCGTCTGTCTCAACTCCACATTCTCTCTGGTCAGCTTCTCGTTGTCTGTTTGAAGATGCAAAGCTTGTTGGTGGAAGGACTGGAGAGCTTCACTCACGTGTTGAAAATCATCTGAGATACTTTTGACCATCTCCTCTATTCGACCTGACCTGCCGTTGATCTCCTCAGCCACATCCTGGAGGCTTTTATTCAGATCTTCAAACTGAGGCAGAACCTCAGAAAACTTCCTGGAGTCGAGTCCAGCAAGTTTTCTGAGGTGTACCGGAAGTTTTCTGAGGTGTTTAGAAGTTGGCTCTTGTCTGGACCGGTCTGGTTCCTGGACCGAACCGGTCGTAGTGGGACGTGCTGGAGACGCAGGTTCTCCTGCAGGAGGTTCCTTACAGGCGTAGGAATTGTCTTGGATGGTTCCTGATCCTTCACCTGGACCTCCCTCCGTTCCCTTCCCAACAGTCAGGTTTGAGCTCTCCATCCATCCGGCTGTCGGAACATTTGTCATCCAGACTTTAGCCTCGCGCCAAGTCCCGGACTTCCCGTTTCCGGTTGTTTGGGACTTCTTTATGTCACTTTAAAAAGTCTTTCTGCCGTTCCATTCATTACAGGAGACATGAGTTAAAAGTAGTTTTATTTACTTCCGGTGTTGCGTCGAATTTTGTTCTCCGTCTAAAACTGCCCCCACCGTTCTACGTTCCAGTTATTGGTTCCGCCTAATAAATGTAAAATATAACAAAACTCCAGGTTCATAAGCTCAGAGGCCTTTTTATTTCAATAGTGTGATTTAATTTTCTACAAAAACACATTCCTCATGTTAATATTCATCCTTCGTTTCGTTTTCTACAGGTTACAAAAACAATAACGGGACATTCACGTAATTATTCTGTTCAAATTGACAGGATTGTCGTTTATAATAGCCACCCTGTTACTTGTCGAATGAATAAATATGTTTTTTTTGTCGTTTATGATTATGATTATTTTGGGTTTTTGTATTTGGTCAACTTAAATCAACAAGACATAAATAGATGTGGGTTTTGTTAGCATAGTTGTCTTAAAACAACAGAGTTTAAGGTGAAACATGAGAAAATTTGCGGGAGAAACAGTTTTAAACTACTTCAGCCATCTTGCTCAGTGCTTCTAGAACAGTACAAGTGTTGTCTGCATTATCCAAAACACATAGAGATAATAATATTGTTGATGTTGTTGCATGAACAATCTAATCTGTCTTTTATCTTGTTTGTTTTTATCTTATCTACCTGTTGTTCAATCAATTTACCTCTGGGATTAATAAAGTATTTTTTCAATTGAACTGAATTGAATTCTATGGTGTAAATTATGTGTACGTTGCTGTTGCCTCTTGGCCAGATCACTGGTTCTCAGTTACAATCAGGCTTATAAAATAAAGTAAACTCAGGTTCTGGCTCTGATTGGTTCTGATCCGGGAGGAAGTCAGAGGAACGCCCTGAAACATGAGGTAGTGAGATGGAATGATAACTAAACACAGCGCAGGCAAATGGAGCATGAAACTGATCTGAGTTCAGAATGATGTCATGCACAATTCAAATAACTGTGTGTGTGTGTGTGTGTGTGTGTGTGTGGGTGTGTGGGTGTGTGTGT